AAGCATAAACTTTTAATTGGTCAAGTGTTAGGCGTTTAGTAAAAGTAAAAGTTTAATTGGTTAGGTGTTAAGTGTTTTATCTTGATGTACTTCCTCCAAGGTGTGATGTCATCATCGTCTTAGATGTAGCTCCGGATGGAGATGCCATCTTACTACACGAGGGTCTTGGTCGATATAGTAAATAGACATTTTATTCACATTAATTTCTATCCATCACAATGTGTCCTTAAGGGGTTAATCTCATCGAACTCCAATATAAGATAGCAACAAGATGGTATCTAATCCCAAAGAAAATAAATAAGATGTTTTCCACATTCTCTCTACTTTGTTGGCCCTTGCAGCTAAATGGTAGGCTCTTACACCCACATATTGTAGACATGCCAAAAACTAAAAGTCTTTTGGAAATTAACATAGGTGTTCTGAAAATGGTGGAATGGGACATCTGTAATATATGTGCAGTCTACAAATGTGCCACAAGTGCGTGACAATGCAGTCATGTTGACAAGTACCAGAATATCTACTGAATGTTTTTGGCACCTTGTTGCGCCCATGCCATGGATAACTCAGGATTTTCTGGAGACAGAGAGAGGGTAATACCCATTGTTAGATAGGAATACTGAATAAAGACACCAGTCACATTATTAGCACATAGTGTCATCTCTCACTATATAGGACATAGTAAACGTATGCGGGTATACTGAACCTCTGCTTAGTCCTGTGACTACATTTTTAAAAAGCAGATATTTGTGTTTAAATAAAGGTTGATCTGTTCATCTTTGGCTTTAAATATCGTTATTAGATGAAGGTATGGTACCATAATAAATATCAGGATAATGACAATGCACATTCTGCTGTACAATGAACACTGTATTTCTCCTGTGGCCGCACAATGCCAGTTAATTATGTAAAAGCTGTATATTCTGTGCAGTGAATCAATTCCATCTTTAAAGAAGAGAGCTGTAAAATGGCGCTCCAATAAAATACTTTACTGTGTAAAAACTCAGCAGTGGATTTGATCTTGCATACAGACCCACAATTCTCTCTGGTTATTGATTGAAACATTCCCCATAGACCACCTGACCATGTATTTCCATTATTTCAGAAGCAATTATCTGATTGTACGCAGCATCATATGAGACGGTATAGTTACTAACACAGCGTGGGGACAAATACCGCGCCACGCACATCACCAGCTGCAGCCAGCGATTTCAACATGGCAGCCTGGAGCGTCATCTACAAAATGTAATGAAAAAAAAAAGAAACATGCATCAAATGTGAGTTTCTTTGTTGATTTCTATTATTTGGGCTTTTTGTTTTTACACATTTAGATACACCATGGGTTGTCAATCTGGTCCCTACCGCCCACTTGTGGGCGTTTCAGGATTCCAGGTGGGCGGTAGGGATTTCGGCGGCTAAATACTCTTTTTGAGAGGATTTCTCCTTTTTAGAGTGGGCGGGCGCAAGCGGCTTGGGGGCACAAGATTTCAGTGACTGGCAGGAGGGAAGCGCTCCCTCCTGCCAGGCCACCTTCTGGACCCCCGGCGCGGCAGAGTTCTAATCTGAGGCGGCGAGGGAGCTCTAACCTCTCTGATCTGCTCCCTCGTGCAGTGTTTGCTGATGCCGCGGGAGCCGGAATATGATGTCATATTCTGGCTCCTGGCATCAGTAGACCGCCCATGAGGGAGCAGAGCAGAGAGGTTAGAGCTCCCTCGCCGCCTTGGATTAGAACTCTGCCGCCCTCCGAAGTGAAGCCCCACTGGACCCCAGGGACAGATCCACACCAGCTCTCCAGGTAGGGAGGCTGGGTGGACATTTAATATTAATAATTTGTGTATCTGTAAGTGTATTTGTGAGTTTGTATGTGTGTGTGTTTGTAAGTATATGTATGTGTGTCTGTAAGTGTATGTGTGAGTGTGTGTATGTGTTTCTCTGTGAGTGTGTGTGTCTGTAAGTGTATGTGTGTGTTTGTCTGTAAGTGTGTGTCTGTAAGTGTATGTGTGTGTTTGTCTGTGAGTGTGAGTGTGTTTGTAAGTGTATGTGTGAGTGTGTGTATGTGTTTGTCTGTGAGCAGAGTACTCGTAGAATAGAAGAAAGAAGGAGCAGAGTATTTGTAGAATAGGAGAAAGAAAGAGCAGAGTACTTGTAAAAAGGAGAAAGAAGGAAAAGGAGAGAATTGTTGTTGGCTAATAATAGTAAGTGGGCTACCTAGCTCAGCCTTCCTACTGTGCATTGCTATAAGGAAGGTTAAAAAATAGAAAAAAGGGAAAAAAAGTGGGGAGGGGAATTGAGGAGGGAGAGGACGGGAGCTGATGTACAGATGAGAAATCATATTATAAGCAAACAGAGAAATCGTCTGAATATCACCGAAAGAGGAGACCTTCGTTTGTTCCTTACGGAAATCGAAACCAGATATGAAATATTTAGTCTCGCAGCATCAACCTCAAGGATCTCATTAATCACTAGTAAAGGTAATTTCAATTTACTTTGTTTTCTTATTAGAGGGACACTATAGTCACCTGAACAACTTCAGCTTAATGAGGTTGTTCAGGAGAGAACTATAGCTCCCTGCAGCCTTTCTCATGTAAACACTATTTTCTGAGAAAATATAGTGTTTACATTGAAAGCTAGGAACACCTCTAGTTGCAGTCACTCAGAGTGAACCAGAGGGACATTGGAGTTGATGGAGGCATAATATGCTGTGCACGAGCATCCTGTGATTCAGTATCTCCTCCCACTGCATGCAGACACTGAACTTTCCTCATAGAGATTCATTGATTCAATTCATCTCTATGAGGAGATGCTGATTGACCAGGGCTGTGTTTGAATCATGCTGGCTCTGCCCCTGATCTGCCTCCTTTCAGTCTCAGCCAATCCTATGGGGAAGTACTGTGATTGGATCAGGCTATCACATGTCAGCAGACTGCTTGTTTTTCCTGAGTCTAACAGCATGCAGATTTACAGCTTCTGGCTTGAATACAGTAAGAATTTTACTATATTTATGAAGGCATGAGGGGCCCAGGGGGGCTTGATGGTCTTGTTAACACTATAGGGTCAGGAATACATGTAGTTGCACTAGTGACTACAGTGTCCCTTTAAACTTTATAAAGTTAAAAACATTATAAAAATGCATAACGCAGAAATAAGATAAATGTACGTACATTTTATTTTTTTTTTAAACACCCTCGTTTCTAAAAAATATTCTGCACTTGCGCGAAAACTGGTGGGTGGTGGGGACATTTTTCCATCAAGAAAGATGCATTAGTGGGCGGTAGGTAGAAAAAGGTTGACTACCACTGAGATACACTATCTATGCAATGCATTAATTTTTTTTTAAAATTTCAGTCTGAACACTGTTACATCATTTACATTCACTTATTTCCTAACTTTGTCCTGGGGCAATCTGCCAGGGGGTAGTGACAAGGGGAGGACCTGCCCAAAAAGCTATATGTAGATAGTGGAAGTGCACTCAACCCTTCGTCATGGAATTCAGGGTGCTCTAATGGATAAGTCCCAGTACCAGGAAGGACCAAACATGGAATTTTGAATATAGAAAATAATCCAGGCACTCCAACGAATTCCAAAGCAAAGGTAATTTTATTAGAACCAGGAACCAAAAGGCAACGTTTCGACCCCTTAGGGGTTGACAAAGGCCCTAAGGGGTCGAAACGTTGCCTTTTGGTTCCTGGATCTAATAAAATTGCCTTTGCTTTGGAATTCGTTGGAGTGCCTGGATTACTGCCCAAAAAGCTGGCATGCCAACCTCATTTGACTGACACTCTCCCTGGCTGGCCCCACTCAGGGACGATCACACTCAGGGCACTGCTAAAGTGCTTTCTACATGGTCCTAGTGCCCTGGCACAGCGGGAGCATGTCTAATGATGTTGCACTTGCTGGATGCGTGACACCAGGAAATCGACCCGGTATAGTGCGAAAGGAACTATAGGTTTTCGGGACTATAGGTAGGTATGCATTCTTTCATGGACCTTACCGTGTTATTGATTAGAAGAGGAGACTATCTGTAGAACTAGCAGATTATCTGTGATCAGATCACTGAGTTTCCATTCACAATTACGCCTGGTGAAAAACCTTCTACAGAAAAGATCTTAGTTTGAAGCCTGAGTCCGGCCAAATTGATCTCTTATCTACAGACACATTGTGAGCCAGAACTCTGACAACATTAATAATGAGAATGATGTTCCTTGCCTGGGATCCCACCCAATAAAGTCATTAAATCAGCAAACCCATCAAAACGGCTAACATTAGTAAATCAATTCCCTTCATTCACTTTGCGTACAAGGGCTACGTAATGCCAGGGGGCACTTCAGATCTGGCAGCTGATACTGTGTAAAGAATTCATATGTAGTATTCACAAAATATAGCAGAGGTGTCATTGACAAGTCTCAATGTGTACTGCGGCAGAAAACTCAGAAATATATTGTTAAAACAGAAATATCAGCCTTGGATGCTCAAATAAACACTCCGATGGGCTCAAAGCTCTTGCCTTATTCTATTGGCCATCATAAGCTAGTAACGTGAGTGATCATTCATTGTGTTTATTACTGTAACGGCTACCCTGGTGTGGTGAGGGTACCAGCCGTTGGGGACGTCCTTTTCTTCCCGGCAAGTCGCTGTGTAGTGATGGAGTCGCCTATTCCCTTCTGCTGGATCAGGAGTGGAAGCAAAGTACAGCTCTGAAAAGAGCTAAGTGAATAAGCTGCATAGATTCCCCTTTCAAGAACGAGACGAGGCTAAGTTTTGAAGGGTCAAGAAGAACTGAGGGTTTATTGACAGACACTCTCTTTTATGCGATTCTGCCCATGCAAGGGAGACACCCACATAATTAGCAGTAAAACCAATCCATACAATATACATTCTGTACATCCCCTCCCCTCAGATAACTAAATAACATAATTAAAAAGGAACATATTTTCCCCAAAGTTCGGATGTACCCCAAATACTTCGGGAGATATGGGACTTAGAAGTTTTGACCGACCGCACGGGCACAGTAGCCGAAAACAGTTCCATGAATGCTGGCCCTGCAGTCGGTCTAAGATCGTGGGTAAAAACTCCCGAACGGCCGGCCATCCGTATGCCATCCTGGGTTCGCTGAAATCCCCATCTGTTGCTGATTCTTTCTACCGAACGCCTGGTCGTTCGGTAGTTTTGGCGAGGTTTTCCCGAAGGTATGGAGGTCTCAGCGGTGTTCGCCTGTTTGAGTGTCCGATTTTAGTTCCAGACACTCGACAGCAAACACCGCTGTTCGGGAGTTAAGATGGCCGCGAACATGTGGAAGTCCCGAAATGGCGGCTGAGCTTACAGCTCCCATAGCGTTCGTGCGGTCTTTCGAATAAAAGTGCCCATCAAGCAGGGAGGTAAATTAGTCATAATTAGCAGTCAGGGTGGCCTGTTAGAGGTAGGTAAGCATTCGCATGGAGAATGCTTGCAAAATACTGAACGGCCTTATAATCCATAGGTCTTTTCCAGGCAAACTGTGCTTTTTGTTACATGGCTCCCCTTTTGTGGGACACCCCGTCAGACCCGGATTGATCCTTTTCGGGTCACCGTGGGGCTGTCCGGATTTCGGTTAGGGCATTAGTTCGGTTTGTCGGGACAGGCCATCCGCGTTCCCGTTGAGTTTACTCGGCCGATATTGTATGGAGAAATTATAAGGTTGTAACGCCAGGCTCCATCTTAATAAACGGCCATTATCTCCAGCCACGCGGTTCAACCACACGAGGGGGTTATGGTCAGTGATGAGAGTGAACTCCTGACCATACAAATATGGAGTCAATTTCTTTAGGGCCCAGACCAGGGCTAAACATTCTTTTTCCACTGCCGTGTAGCTCACTTCCCTGGGTAGCAGTTTTCTGCTTAGGTACGCGACAGGGTTTTCTCCTCCATCTTCCCCGATCTGGCTTAAAACTGCCCCCAGTCCGTACATGGAGGCATCTGTGTGGACGACAAATCTTTTGTTAGGGACTGGGGCAGATAGCACGGGGGCGTTGATCAATGCGTTCTTTAATGTCTGAAATGCTGTTTCGCAGGCGGGAGACCACAGGACTATCCTAGGTAGATTCTTTTTGGTCAAATCTGTTAAAGGCTTGGCGATACTACTATAGTCTGGGACAAATTTCCTGTAGTACCCTGCCGTCCCTAGGAAAGCCAGTACCTGGGTCTTAGTGTGGGGCGTGGGCCAATTAGCCACAGCCTCAACTTTGGCTGGCTCCGGCCGTTGCTTCCCACATCCCACCCGGTGTCCCAGGTACTGTACTTCGGCCATGCCAAAATTAAATTTTTCTGGCTTCAGAGTGAGGCCTGCGGCCCTAATCTGATCCAGTATGGCCCCCACCTGTCGGAGGTGTTCTCCCCAAGTTTCGCTGTAGATCGAAATGTCATCCAGGTACGCACAAGCGAAATCCTGGAAGCCATCAAGGATTCAGTCCACCAAGCGCTAAAAGGTAGCGGGAGCGTTCTTCATCCTGAATGGCATGACCTTGAATTGGTACAAACCAAACGGGGTGACGAAGGCCGACTTGGGGACAGCCTCTTTGGCTAGGGGGATCTGCCAATACCCCTTGCACAGATCAGTGGTAGTCAGGTATCTCCCCCTAGCAATGCGATCTAGAAGCTCGTCTACTCGGGTCACTGTTCGATCATAAAGGCGTCTATAGTCAACGCAGAACCTGGTAGTCCTGTCCTTTTTGGGTACCAGTACTACGGGGGAGGCCCACGGGCTGTCTGAGGGTTCTATGACTCCTAACTTGAGCATCTCTTGGATCTCTTTCCTCATCTCTTCCTTAACTGCCTCTGGGATCCTGTAGGGGGTCTGTATAAGTGGAGTCTGCCCTGGGGTTTCTACGTAATGGGTAGCTAATGTCGTGTATCCCGGCTCTTGGGAAAATGTCAGTCGCTTCTCGGTCAACAGCTGTCTGATCTGTCCCTTTTCTGCCGGGTTCAACCGCTCCCCTAGGTGGATAGTACCGAGGATATTATTAGGTTCGGGACCTGCTAACAAGTCGGGGATAGGTAGCCCGTCTGAGTCATCTGCACTTGGACTGCAGATGGCTGCAATATCCTCGGCCCTTTCCTGATATTCCTTTAGCAGATTCACGTGGAAGGATTTCCGAATCCGGTCATCCTTGTTACTGGCTATTACGTAAGTGGTATCACATACTTGGGCTACCACCTTGTAAGGGCCCTGCCATGAGGTCTGGAGCTTGTTCCCTTTTACTGGTCTGAGGACTTAAACTTTCTGTCCCACCTGGAAGGTTCTCTGGCAGGCACCCCTATCTGTCGACCCTGGGCTGCCTGGAGATGGTCTCTAGCCATCCGAGCTAACTGCTCCATGCGGTCCCGCATCTCCAGAACATATGGCACCATAGAGACACCCTCATGTTCCATCTCTCCTTCCCAGTGCTCTCGGATGAGGTCGACGGGGCCTCAAACTCATCTTCCATAGAGCAGCTCGAACGGAGAGAACCCAGTGGATTCCTGTGGCACCTCTCGGTAGGCAAACAAGAGGTGCGGCAAGAATCGCTCCCAGTCTCTGTATTCCGCTGTAAAGGCCCGCAGTAATTGTTTCAGGGTACCATTAAAGCGTTCACAGAGCCCGTTAGTCTGGGGGTGGTATGGTGAGCTGAAGAGGGTCTTGATACCACAGACCTTCCATAACTGTTGGGTCAGATCTGCGGTAAATTGTGTCCCTCGATCAGACAAGATCTCTTGAGGAAACCCCACTCTGGTGAAGATCCCGACCAAAGCACTGGCAACAGTGTCGGCCTGGATATTCGTCAGAGCGACGGCTTCCGGGTAGCGGGTAGCGTAGTCCACTACGGTAAGAATATATTTCTTACCGGAGGGACTGGGACTCGGTAGGGGCCCCACCAGATCGACTGCCACCCTGCTAAATGGTTCCTCGATTACAGTCATGGGTAACAGTCTTGCTTTCGGGTGGTCCCCTCGTTTCCCCACTCGTTGACATACGTCACATGTACTACAGTAGCGTCGCACATCCTTCGAGATTCCCGGCCAAAAGAAGGTCTGGGTAATCCTGTAGGTAGTGTAGTTACCTCCTAAATGTCCTGCCAAGGGAATATCGTGTCCAATTCGCAGAAGTTCCAACCGGTACTTCCTGGTTACCACTAGTTGGCGCTTCTGCGATGGGATACCGCCTTTCTTTTTCCCTTCCGTCAGTCTATACAGTCGGTCATTATCCCAGATAAAACGTTCCTTCTCATCCCCCCCACTATCTGCAAGTTCCCTGTATTTTTGGAGGGTAGGATCTGCCCGTGTCTCCCTCCCAAATGCTTCGGGGGTGTCCCAAGCTAAGGGTCTCCCTATGGGGTCTGGCCTAGGGGTCGGTTCTTGGCTTACCTGAGTCTCCCGTCCTGGTGCAGGGTCGTCTGTGGCATAAGCCTGGGAACGTGTGGTCACTGGGCAAGCGGCAGCAGTTGTAGGCAGATATGCTGATGCAAGAGGTCCAATGTCATTGCCCAATACGACTTCCACGGGTAAATTGTCCATGATGCCCACAGTGGTCTTCCCAGACCCGACTCCCCAATCCAGGTGTACCCGAGCAGTGGGTAAACGAAAAACAGCTCCTCCGGCAACTCGTACAGCCACAGTGCGGTTGGACAAATGTTCGGGTTTTACCAGATGTCTCTGCATTAAGGTAATGGTTGCCCCAGTGTCTCTCAATCCTTGCGCCACCTGCCCGTTCACCCGCACTTCTTGTCGGTGATGTTGCCGATTATCTGGTGATGCGGCTTGTATCGGGTCCGCCTCATACAAGATACCCAGGCATTCCTCTGGGCCCACCTTGTTCTCCAGGCAATGGGCGGCCGAGGTACGTGGGGTAGGAATAGGAGTGCGAGGTGAGGCGGTCTCTGTGGGTGGTGAGGGTCGTTGCCAATTGTTGGCTGCCGACCCCAGCGGGCAGTGGCAGGCAAGGTGTCCTAGGTTGTTGCAGCGATGGCACGCCATCCGGGATACATCTCGTGGGTAGCTGGTGGACCCCTGCGGGCGAGGGGGCCCAGGAGGGATGGGAGCACGGAACTCCTGACAAAAATTACTGGCTGGGGTACGTGGTTCTGACCTGCTCGTTGGGCGGTGAGAGCCTTGACTAACCCTCCTCGTTTCGGCATACTCGTCCGCTAGCCGAGCTGCCTCCTTCAGGTTGCTGGGTCGTCGATCCCTCAACCAGTCTTGTAGATCAGCTGCCAAATCCTGGAAGAAGTGTTCCATTAGGAACAATTGTAGGACTTCCTCACCTGCCGGAAAACTTTAGTTATGGAAAGAAAGATTATGCGAAGAAAGCCACTGTCTAAACTTTAACATGCAGATACACTATGGAATCATTAAGCAAGCAAGAGATGAAAGTTTTTATTTTTAGTCAATAATCTGGGAGCTGAACTACCTATCCCTTAAAACCTTGCACATGAGATGCCGGAGATTTGCAACAAATACAGGATATTCCTAAAATCCCAGTTAACATTACATCCTTGGACCCAGTGGGAGGCCACTCGCTGTAGACGGTTGGCCCATTCCATGTGAGAGTTCACGGCTTTCTTTTTAGACTCACGAAATCGTCGGCGGTATGCCTCCGGCGTCACAGCATAACGGGCCAACAGTGCCTTTTTGACATGCTGGTATTGTAGGATATCCTCTGCGGTGAGGGCCCGAAATGCCTCGTTAGCTTTGCCTGGCAGCTTCCCAGCTAAAATAGTAACCCATTGTTCAGGGAGTACCTGGTGTAAGGAGCACTGCCTCTCGAAATCTGCCAAATATCCGTTGATCTCCTCTTCATTCTCCACAAACGCCTTGAACGCAGTAAATGGCACCTTCTTTGGGGTGGTAGGCGGAGGGGAAGCAGGAACTGTATGTGTAAGGGGCTGTTGGGCTCTTACCAGTTCGATTTCGTGCCCCCTCCTCTCCCGGATATCTGCTTTGGCATCGAGGAACAGCCGCTCAATCAGCTCCACTGATGTCTCTGGGTAGAAGGCCAGTCTCCTCTGTACGATGCAGGCAACCTCGTCCTCCTCGCTGTCTGGCCTCTGGGTCTCTGTTACATCCATGGACCGATCCATCTCGTCCAGCTCTAGTAGGTCTGCAATCAGCTCCCTCCGTGGTCTGTTACTGGCACTCCTTCCTCGGTTCTCCAGTAGATCCTTTAGGGTAGGCCTCTTCAATTTGACGTAGTGAGACTCCATCCAGCATCTGCGCTGTGGATGAAAGGACCATCCCACCGCTGCCACCAATGTAACGGCTACCCTGGTGTGGTGAGGGTACCAGCCGTTGGGGACGTCCTTTTCTTCCCGGCAAGTTGAAAAGAGCTAAGTGAATAAGCTGCATAGATTCCCCTTTCAAGAACGGGACGAGGCTACATTTTGAAGGGTCAAGAAGAACTGAGGGTTTATTGACAGACACTCTCTTTTATGCAATTCTGTCCATGCAAGGGAGACACCCACATAATTAGCAGTACAACCAATCCATACAATATACATTCTGTACATCCCCTCTCCTCAGATAACTAAATAACATAATTAAAAAGGAATATATTTTCCCCAAAGTTTGGATGTACCCCAGATAGCTTGTATTTATGGTACTAACATATTTAAAAATCAGCCCATTCGGTTCAGCCGTTCGGGAGATATGGGACTTAGAAGTTTTGACCAACCGCACGGGCACAGTAGCCGAAAACAGTTCCATGAATGCTGGCCCTGCAGTCGGTCTAAGATCGTGGGTAAAAACTCCCGAACGGCCGGCCATCCGTATGCCATCCTGGGTTCGCTGAAATCCCCATCTGTTGCTTATTCTTTCTACCGAACGCCTGGTCGTTCGGTAGTTTTGGCGAGGTTTTCCCGAAGGTATGGAGGTTTCAGCGGTGTTCGCCTGTTTGAGTGTCCGATTTTAGTTCCAGACACTCGACGGCAAACACCGCTGTTCGGGAGTTAAGATGGCCGCGAACACGTGGAAGTCCCGAAATGGCGGCTGAGCTTACAGCTCCAATAGCGTTCGTGCGGTCTTTCGAATAAAAGTGCCCATCAAGCAGGGAGGTAAATTAGTCATAATTAGCAGTCAGGGTGGCCTGTTAGAGGTAGGTAAGCATTCGCATGGAGAATGCTTGCAAAATACTGAACGGCCTTATAATCCATAGGTCTTTTCCAGGCAAACTGTGCTTTTTGTTACATGGCTCCCCTTTTGTGGGACACCCCGTCAGACCCGGATTGATCCTTTTCGGGTCACCGTGGGGCTGTCCGGATTTCGGTTAGGGCATTAGTTCGGTTTGTCTGGACAGGCCATCCGCGTTCCCGTTGAGTTTACCCGGCCGATATTGTATGGAGAAATTATAAGGTTGTAACACCAGGCTCCATCTTAATAAACAGCCATTATCTCCGGCCACGCGGTTCAACCACACGAGGGGGTTATGGTCAGTGATGAGAGTGAACTCCTGACCATACAAATATGGAGTCAATTTCTTTAGGGCCCAGACCAGGGCTAAACATTCTTTTTCCACTGCCGCGTAGCTCACTTCTCTGGGTAGCAGTTTTCTGCTTAGGTACGCGACAGGGTGTTCTCCTCCATCTTCCCCGATCTGGCTTAAAACTGCCCCCAGTCCGTACATGGAGGCATCTGTGTGGACGACAAATCTTTTGTTAGGGACTGGGGCAGATAGCACGGGGGCGTTGATCAATGCGTTCTTTAATGTCTGAAATGCTGTTTCGCAGGCGGGAGACCACAGGACTATCCTAGGTAGATTCTTTTTGGTCAAATCTGTTAAAGGCTTGGCGATACTACTATAGTCTGGCCTTATAATCCATAGGTCTTTTCCAGGCAAACTGTGCTTTTTGTTACAATTACTAATTCAACTGGTAAACGTCACTTCTCTGAAAATGAAAACATTGAAAATCTCATACTTGACCTTTTATTTGATGCTGAGTTATTATTTAAATATTAGACATTTTGACATCACAATCCAGCTTAGTCGAAGCACAGCCAGGGCACACAATGCATTTGGAGAGGACAACTAGAAATTATGTTTCTGTGTCTCCTTTCCTCCCTAAGCTGACTGGAGCAAAGAGCAGTGTTTATAACAATGATTGACAGGGAGCCAAGATGGAGACATCCAGCTCTAGAATAAAGCTATACGCCATCATGTGGATATCTGCATTCATTTTTTATTTTTAAGAACTTATGAATACTTACAAAAACATAATAAATATAGAGTATAAGAAAAACAATTCTGGGATGCGACTTTCCCTTTTATCCCAGCCCAGAGCTGATAGCCAGCCATCGTTCCCTTATTCCAACAGGTGTTTCACATAACTCACAAAACCGTGGGTTTGTTGATACATTACACGCCTGGCTTCATGTTACTTTTGAAATCCCAGAACTGTTAAAATAAAGAAGGGACATCATTTTTAATGCCCCTGTGTCTGTTTGGACCTTGACAGATGTGTCATTCATTGTAAAGAGTAATCGTTTCTGATCTGTCAGCTTTTACGTTTCAAACCATAGCTCAGTAATATAAAACACACTCAAGGAAGATTCCAAGTGAATATCGGTGAGATCACTTGGAGCAGAGCGAAGATCGAAGATTCCAAGTGAATATCAGTGAGATCACTCGAAGCAGAGCGAAGAGCGAAGATTCCAAGTGAATATCAGTGAGATCACTCGGAGCAGAGCGAAGAGCGAAGATTCCAAGTGAATATCGGTGAGATCACCCAAAGCAGAGCTCTGAACTGGAGATAGTTTAATAAATGTCTCTGTAAAAGCCTGCATGTTGTCTTATGGCTTTCAATGAGAGCACTTGTACACAGATTACATGCAATCCAAGGCATACCTTTTACTACCTCGTGCAAACAGCTTCATTCATGGTTATTATGAAATAATCAATTTTTTATTGGGTCTGACGCGATCTGTATAGCTTTCAGAAGAAAACTGGGAGCTGAACTACCTATCCCTTAAAACCTTGCACATGAGATGCCGGAGATTTGCAACAAATACAGGATATTCCTAAAATCCCAGTTAACATTTATTAATTCCATTGAAACATGTTTGCATTTTTTTTTTATATATCGTAGCCACCCAACAATGTTATTCTAAAATAACCTACCTCTATTTCATTGTACAGTGCTACGGAATTTGCTGGCGCAGTATAAATAATAAAACAATAATAATACAATTTTGACTCTCACTTCCAAATTTTTTTTATCTTGTGATCCATGCCAGAACAGTGCTTTGCTGGGGACAAGAATGATGTCATTTGAGCTTTTCAACCTATGGCTGTTTCACATTATAAAGATGTGCCTCTACAAAGATATATTGAGTAACACTGAAATTATAGCCCTGGGTATCATCACTAAGAAACAAGGTGATGGGTATGAGATAAGAATACCCACAAATTGGGACAACAACTTATATTTCAATTAGCAGAGATCATAGTCATTGTTAGGAAATGACTTTAGGCTAAAGCCCCAAACGGTCCCTTGAGGGGGCAGGATACTTATGGTTTTATACAAGTAGCCACATAATATTAAAGGAGAAACATCTAGTATTTTTAATTTGGGAAGAGTAGGGAAGCGTTATCAGATGGGTGGTAAAGACACACGAGAGTCACCTAAGTGAATTGTCTCTGGAAGGATGTAATAATACAAATAACATATCTGTTTTTTGTTTTATTTAAGGATTGATGCCGATGAGTTCTCATGACTGTGTGACGTTACATTTCTCTGTGGCTGCTATTCGTTACATCCTATACTACTCTTATACAATTTATCTAATCTACATCTCAGCTTCATCTCTCTGCCTGTGGGAGTCTGTGTCATATCGAATAGTAAACTGTCCAGCTAATCTCTTGTGGTCAGCCTGTTCAATCTCATATAGAAGCCTCTCTTACAGCTATCCACTTTAACTTATTCTAACGTGAGATTCTAATTTGAAAGGGGAACTGTACTTCTGTGGAATTTATATAATTGAATGAACATTAAAAACCACCTGTAACGTGTGTTAACCTTTTCTTCATAAAAACATAGAAACATAGAATGTGATGGCAGATAAGAACCATTTGGCCCATCTAGTCTGCCCAATTTTCTAAATACTTTCATTAGTCCCTAGTCTTATCTTATAGTTAGGATAGCCTTATGCCTATCCCACGCATGCTTAAACTCCTTTACTGTGTTAACCTCTACCACTTCAGCTGGAAGGCTATTCCATGCATCCACTACCCTCTCAGTAAAGTAATACTTCCTGATATTATTTTTAAACCTTTGTCCCTCTAATTTAAGATTCATGACATGTTCCATTTTGGCAATCCAGTTCAGACAAGGCAAAGTCAGGACAACCATGCAAATACGGAGGAGAAACAGAAACATTGTTTAAAGGGACACTATATTAACCAAAAC